TCAAATAATTCAATGTCCAAGTTGTTTTCATGTTCAATATTCGAATATGCAACACTATTGAACAGCTTCAATAATCCGCTATAATTGATGAATCAGTATCATTTTAGTCTTTAAATAGCTTAATTTTTTTAATCATTTTGTAAATGTTACATTTAAATTTTCTTGTTTTATTTTTCTTTTCGAAAAAAAAACAACTATCGAAATTTTAATAGGTCACTACTGAAATCGATGGTAGTAATGGTAAATTAACATTATGGCAATTTTTATTAGAATTATTATTATCAAATAAATATGAACATATTATAAGATGGACAAATAAACGTGGTGAATTTATTCTGGTACAAGCTGAAATTGTTGCAAAACTATGGGGTATGCGTAAAGATAAAAATCATCGTATGAATTATGATAAATTAAGTCGTGCATTACGTTATTATTATCAAAAAAATATTATACGTAAAGTTCACGGGAGGAAATTTGTATATCAATTTATAGGATTAAAACATTTAATTAAATTTTGTTGTACATCATTAAATTCTACACCAATGACAACATCAGTGACATCATCATCATCATCATCATCGATAATAACACCGACAATAGTCACTTCAACATTATCTACAAATAAATTACAACAGACATTGACACCATTGAACACTTTGCCGGTACATTCAAAAATGGACGATACTAACTTACCAGTAACATCTTCATTATATCATGCTAGTAAATTAAATGAACTATACAATCATCATCATCAACAACAACGCCAAGATTGGTTTCATACACCTCATAATACTACTACTAAATTTTATGAAACTCAACAAGATTGTAAATATCCTCCTACTACTACTAGTAATATTACTAACACTATTTCAAATATCATTACTAATGCAAATAACTGTACTTTGACATCAACACATTCTGAAAACTCTTCAAATTTAAACTGTTTACCTAATAATAAATCAATATATTCTCCGAGTAATTTGGATATAACAACAATTTCAACATTTATCAATTCATATTTAAATAAGAAAAACTTTCTAACTGATAATACTGTGACAAATAATAATAATGATAATCATAATAACAGTCAAAGTAATAATACTCTTCCAAATCATTCTACTGGTGAATCAACAATATCAACTTTGTCTGATCAACATCAAATTAAGACTACACATAATGAAATGAATGATTTTAGTGATATTCTTTCTTCTTGGACTTCGCTTATAACACAACAAAGTAATTATTTGAATAATTTTCGATTAATGGAATTTTTTAAACAATTCGGTTTATCGAATCTATTATTCAATCATCAATATATTGATGAACAATTTAATGTTGATCAAGAAAAACAAACATATTCAATAGATTCATGTTATAGAAGAATAGGACAAAATGATTCATTGGTAAATAAAGAGAAAATTATTGAAAATGGCACAGACAATAATAATCCATTTATGACTAGTCACAATATTGATCATTGTTCAATGAATTTACGCGCCAATTATTATTCAAATTTACTGAATCATTATAATTCAGAATTAAGCAAAATTGATGATTTCATTACAACACCGTGTGAAAAAGATAATAATCCACCAATGAATTTTACTATGACAAATTTAAAAGAATCTGAAAATTTTTTATTAAGACAATATGTTAATCAAATTATTGACAGACCTCGATCACCATGTTGTCAATGTAGTTGTCATAGTCAAGCTACAACATTAGAAGAACAAATGAATTATCCTCTCATGCAAAATATACAACATCAAATTAATTCATCTTATTTGAAAGATAATACTAATCATAATCATATCACGGAAAAGTTAAAAGATTGCTCAAATAAACATATAATCAATGGAAATTTTGATGAATTACCAACTAAATTACATAATGAACGTCATTCTATTAATATGAAACGTTTAGGTGAACAGTTGACACGTTTAAATCGTTTAAATTCAATCGGGAATTATTCAAATCATCATTTCATGTTTACAAATAAATATTCTTTAATAAATAATAATGATAATGATAATAATTTGAAAAAATCAAATCTTATGAAAGATGAACATACTACTAATTATAATAAGGATAGTAGTAATCTTAATAATAACAATAATAATAATAGTAATAGTAAGGATGATTATTATTCTGATAGTGAGTATAAGATACCATTGACCAAACATTCAATGTTATATGATTCACAAAAAATACCGCTGGATTTAAATTCTTCCATAATGAACACTACTTACAACAGTAATCAATCGGATCATGTGAATATGTCATCTTTACCGACCTTATCAATGTCAGAGAATAAATGTGTATGGATGCCGGTACCTGTGACAATGTTAAATTCATGGTTTAATTTATTGTCGAATATAAAACATCCCAAAGAGGATAATTCAACAAATCAACAAGTAAATTTTACAACATCACCTTCTTTCTCCACCTCCTCTTTCCCATCATCATCATCATCGTCATCAATGTCGTCGGCTTCTTTATCATCATCATCATCCTCATCAGCATCATCATCAGTGAGTAACAATTAGACTGTTGTAAAATGTTTCTACAAGTTTAACAACGATTGCATGAAGCATACACATATAATCATTTCATTAGCAGCATTTATAATTCATTTCAAATTTATAAAAAAAACATCGCCAACTATTCTAAAATACAACAACATTTACATATCATCAATGAGAGATATGTATAACATACATTCCATACATTTAAAATGAAAGTAGTAGTAGTAGATATACAATCATTATATATCTTTAGGCTGTAACACAAACAATCCATCATTGTACATTGTTGATTTCATGTTATTTGAAAACTTATTTACCTGGCCTAAATATAGATTGATGTTTGAAAATTTGAAGAAAATAAAAAGACAAAACTCAACAACAACGAATGCATTTGTTAATTTTATGATGTTTTTTTAGCGCGAGAAAAATCACGATAAAATGAACCGAATTCTCATTTTATTATTATTATTATTTCAGTTTATTTTGTTTAACTTATATATATATATATATTTCTTGTTATTCTGAACAAATATAAATATACAATTCTTATGATGAATGGTTTATTTTAAATCCTATACGAAATCAATTGTCATTATCATTATCTAATGGTTGAGACTGATGAAATCTCAACGCAGATACAGAAAGCTCCATTGGCTTTTGCTAATTTACGCCGTTTATGGCGTAGGCGTAGGCGAGATATCCGTTCGCTAACCAAAGGACGGGTGTACTCTGTAGCAGTTCACTCCGTTCTCCTATATGGATGCGAAACATGGTCGTTAAGAGTAGAATATGTTCGTAGGTTACTAGTATTCGATCATAGATGTCTTAGAAGCATTGCTCGTATATCGTGGGACAACTGAGTAAGCAATGCTGTCGTTAGGAAACGGGTTCTAGGTAAGGATGACAAATCAATAGATGAAGTAGTGAAACTTCATCAGTTGAGGTGGTTGGCACATGTGTTACGAATGCCTAACCACCGACTGCCTCGACAAGCTTTGTTTTGTAGTGTAGGAGTAGGTTGGAAGAAAGTAAGGGGCGGCCAAACCACAACATAACACAAATCCATGAAGTCACTGACATATGAACTGAGTGATGTTGGTAGATGTAGACTACCTGGTTGGGGTCCGCGAGACGAAAGTCATCAATAGTTAGAGACTTTGAACGACATGGCTCAAAATCGTTTGCAATGGCGCAAGTGCATCCATTCATTGTGTTCTCTCAAATCCTAATCTTCTGGAATCGTCAGCACGTCTACCTTTGTCTTTCTAACCTTATCTCACTGAATTATACTTCTTGAATAATATCTTCAAACCCTAGTCTTCTTCATTGCCATTAATACCTCAACTATCTTTATCACTATGGGATTTGATTTGACATTTGCGTCTCTGTGTTAATGTGGTATGGCAACCTGAACTTACGTACATACGTACGAAGTTCTACGTTGCAGCTAACTGACTGAATGGTATCGTAAAGTTATTTTCTTACTTTCGTTCCTGTTTATGATGACTTTATTAGTAGTATGATTTGACGGATAATTCAAAGTTTCAAAACTATTCAACTCGATCAACATAATGTTGAATAAAGTTAATAGTCAACATATAATGCAACCTAACATTACGCACTATTTATCGAACAGGATTTTTATTATGGATTGACTCTAGTCATTACTTACTTACTTGCTTACTTACTTACGCCTGTTACTCCCAACGGAGCATAGGCTGCTGAACAGTATTCTCCAACCTACTCTGTCCTAGGCTTCCCTTTACAGTTCTGTCCAATTTCGG